CATTAACACCTGTGTGACCATACATCAATGTGCCATTGATGTATGGTCTGCAAAGCACAAAAGCGTATTTTGATGGAATTTTCAATTTATAATCAATTACAAAATTTAAAGACAATTGATGATAACAAAACGCAATATGATGCCCACTAATTACTGTGTTCTTGAACATCATCAACTTTTGGTTGGTTATCTTTACAAACTCGGCGTTATTGAAACCCGTTACTCAGGGAAACAATAAAATTTGATGAAGTAGTTAGAAGCAAATCATTAGTAAGCATTTTTCTAAACATCTATTAATTATTGTAGTCATAAAAAAAGAAAAAGCCATAACTGTATTGACTACTTTGGACAAATTGTATTTGTGACATGTTAATTAAACCATGTTTAATAAGATATCAGATTATAATCAATTTTAAAAATCATAAATGGGTTACGCAATCAAATCTCCTGATTAAGGCTTTCTGATCAAAGTAATTTTTGTAAGTTCTGTAGTTTTTTTGAAATGTTTTTCTGACACTTTCTTTTGAATCTTAATCATAATTTAAATCATAAAAACTCAACCACACAACCTTGTTCACACAACCTTGTTCACACAACCTTGTTCACACAACCTTGTTCACACAACCTTGTTCACACAACCTTGTTCACACAACCTTGTTCACACAACTGTGGTTTTTGTTTTCTCAAGTCTAAAACATTCTAAAACATTCAAGTCAATACTAAACAATACTCCATTCATAACTCAATACGGTCGTAATGCCAAAGCATGTTGGTGAATGAAACAATGAGTTATTGCGACATTAGAAATCTCCAAACTATCTTGACCAATGCTGCAAAACTAGAAATGTTTCCAGGCATTGCAGTTGCTCTATCAGTACCTAATCTGCCAAGCTTATTCTTTTAATTAACGCTGTGTTCTATAAAAAAACTTTTTATCGTGTAAATGAGGTCTGCCACTTTTGTATTTCCTAAAAGTGAGTCTTAAAGTTTCTAGATATACGTAACATACAAACACCAAGACCTGGATACACGGTTATACATCTGTGCTCTCCTCCAGTTGAATGCTGAATGGAAATGGCAAAGAGTTCAGTTTTGTAATGATTTGCTGCAAAACCCTAGGAGGTTATTCAACAAATCTAAAATAAGTGACAAATTTTAACAAATTTTAAGAAAAAAAATAAATTTTTCTTAAGGTTTGTTAAAATTATACTTTGATTCATATGTTTTAAGTTTTTCCACAAAAATTCACTTCAATAATTAACGGGTGTTCACTTGAAATCCGGACTGACTTTAAGTCAATATAAATCTGACATAATGTATTGCAATTGTACCATGTGATACATTATTTTAAAGCGTTTAAATTTAGCTTTAATATGCTACATTTATATTTAGATTGAATGATTATTCAAATTGAAAATGAAACCTAAACAAGACGACACTCGAAAACGTGTGTACAACTTCTATATTGAAAATAAAGAAAAAGGCAAAAATTACACCGTAGATCATTTTGAAAAAGAAAAAATTGCCAGATCGACCATCTATGATATAATTAAACGTGCTGATGACGATTCTGGATATCTTAGACGTCCTGGTTCAGGAAAAAAAGCTCTAAAAATGACCCAAAAAAAAGTACAAGCGTTAAAATCAATGTTTGATCATCATGATGGCGTTTCTTATAGGAAAGCAGGTAGAAAATTTAGAATATCAGCTTCTTATGCCCATAAAATTATTCAGACAAAATCAAAGATCAAGAAAAAAAAGAAGAAAAAGGTTCCACCTCGAACCAATGATCAAAAACTGATGGCAAAAACAAAGTGTGGTAGATAATATCGAGCTTTTAGCAAATTTGATTGGATCATTGACGATGAATCTTATTTTACTCTTTCTCATTCATCAATCAACGGAAACGATAACTTCTACACAAGTGACATAAACCTCTGCCCATCTAGTGTCAAATACTATACAAATCGAAAATATGAACCCAAGCTTCTGGTCTGGGTAGCCTTTTCTGTAAAAGGAATGTCAAAAATTCTAATCCGTCAAAGTGGTCTTGCAATCAATCAAAAAATCTACTTAGAAGATTTTATTAAGAAACGTCTTATTCCTTTTATTAAAGAGAATCATCAAGACAGTCAATTCGTATTTTGGCCAGATCTGGCGACGTCTCATTATGCTAAATCTGTTCAAGCTTATTTAAATGGACAAAACGTCAGATTTGTACCAAAAAAAGATAACCCTGCAAATGTGCCAGAAGCAAGACCTATTGAGGATTTTTGGTCAATAATAAAAGGTTTAGTTTACAAGGATAATTGGCAAGCAGAAAATTTAGAACAACTAATTAAAAGGATAGTGCATTGCTTCAGCAAAGTTGATATCAATCTTGTACAAGAGTTTGCAAAGGATATTTTATCAAGAATTGATTCTATAAGAAGAAAAAATTTAATTGAAAATAAATAAAGTATCATATTATAGAGAATTAAATGCTGGTTTTAAATCATATTTTATTTTTTTAAGTTGATAAAAAATAAGGGAGTTATGACCCTTTAAAGTCACTCCGGATTTCAAGTGAACACCCGTTACTGCAAAAAATTTATATTAATGAGTAGATGATTTAAAACGATGGAAATGATTATAAAAGAAATATTTACCTCAGCGGAGAAGTGTTAATATGAATGTATGTTCAAAACCTACTTTATTATGAAATAGTATATTCAAAAATTATTTTATTATTAAGAATCTATGTTAATTGATTTTTTAATTATTGTAAATGTATGTTTAATAACTTGTAAAATACTAAAAATATGGCCAACTGCACCAGCTGTTGGAGACAACACTTGAATAAGATCTAAGTGTTGTAATGACAGATGATTTAAAAGTCAGAAAACGAGTATTCACGGCTGCATCACCTGGTAGCTGTATGTCTGACATGCTCAAGCGCCATACTCTGGCGCACATTGTATACTTCATACATTTTTCCACACTTAAAGTATGCAGTACAAGCCATATCTAGATAAAGATATAGCCAAACTTGATCGATTTCATCACCGAGCCACGTCTTTACCGACGATCATAACGGGCAAATGTTGGGAGGCCACATCAAAATTTGAGGCCATTTTAAAATCAATGACCTTTTTTTTGGTCAATGATCAGTTTATCATTCAGAACCTTTTCTGTTTTATGAAAAATATCTTTAGTCAAAAATACGCTTGTAGTTAATTGCAAAATAATTGCAATTAAAATTAATTTAATTGCAAAAACAGCCTGACTTGATTAGATTGATTGGTTTTAAAAAAAAGCGCACAATTTATAAACTTAATTCATGCAAAGTTTTAAAGTATAGAGTGATTTAAACTATGAATTACAACACGATATGCACAGCTAATGCTTTTTTTATTTGACTTTTTTATCTTCGTTTTCAGAATTTGAAATTTAATAAAAGTTATTTCATTATTCGTTTATCTAGGCCTAGAGGCTGGATAAAGAGATTTTTAAGCTTGAGACTATTTTATAGTATGGTCTGACATATTAACATAAAAAAGAAATAAGCAAAAAAGTTCTCCTAAAAGAATTGGGACCCTAAAATTACGGTACCTAGAAGTATATATTACCGCAACCCCCACCCCTTCCTTAAGTCAGTTCTGCTAAAGGCTAATTTTTTGGAAATGCTGGTGTGCTAACTGAAGCGAAAGGCACCTCTGCTTGACACACACACACACAGATATATTTCTGATGTGTCTTTATTGATGAAACACAGTCTTAAATGAGAAAAAATTATATATATATATATATATATATATATATATATATATATATATATATATATATATATATATATATATATATATATATATATATATATATATATATATATATATATATATATATATATATATATATATATATACATAGGCAGCTGACCAAACAGTTATTGTTGGGAAGTGTTAATGAATGGACGTTTATCTCATTTAAACAAAAAGTGCTATTTTTTTAAGATTTTATTACATAATTGTTTCAGATCCATTAAAAAAAAAAGGGAAGAACAAAAAGAGTCATAACCTGAGTCAATTTATTTAATAATAAGGTATAACTTTAACAACTATTTTAAACAGTTGCAAAGTGCAATAACATAAGATATTGCACTGTAAAAGCTCATTTTGTCTTTTGTTTGTATTTTAACAAATAGTTTTTGCAAAATCCAGCTGTCTAGTTTGTTTTTAAAGTTATTTATTGAAGTAGCTTCTATTATTTCAGATGGTAAGCTGTTCCACGCATTTACAACTCGATTTTGAAAAAAATAATACCTGAAGGTATTTCTGCTAAAAGGCTTCCTCATTTTGAATTTGTGTTGTCGCAGACATGGACCCTCCTCCAATGCATTTCCACAATCGTTAGCAACCTAATTTATTTTATCGTGGCCATGCTGAATTTTATATTGTTGAATCAGATCTCAACGTAGTCTACGTTCTTCCAGTGACGTTAATTGCATAATATTCAACCTAGCCTCATATGATAATTTCCTAATTGTAGGTGTAGTTTGATTGCTCTTTTTTGGATTTTCTCAATCTTGTCAATGTCTTGTTTTAAAAATGGAGACCATGCCTGGACCGCAAACTCAAGATGTGGACGTATGAACGTTGTATAGAGCATTTTTACCATGTTTACATCTAAATATTTAAAGCTTCTCTTTATGGTACCTAACATTCTGTTTGCTTTGCTGGTTGCTGAATCAACTTGTGAGTGCCATTTTAAATCGGATTGAACCATTTTACCCAAATATACCAACAAAAAAAAAAAAAATTTGGGTTTATTTTTAAGGAGAGAGTTCATATTTTAGGAGAGAGTTCATAATTTTTGGAATTGATATCGCTAACCAATATTTATTTTTTGGATTTTCTCAATCTTGTCAATGTCAAATATTTAAATAATTGTTGGTAGAAACGTGCGCACACGTTTTTGTTTGAGCACGATATTGCTGAATTAGCGTAATCGATACCATGACATCACATCACTAATACATCGATTCGCACGTGTTACCATGTCTCGAGTAAATGTCATGAATGTTTAAACTTAAAAATGTTTAAATAATATAATTACTGTGTTATGTAGTTAAATTTAATACTCATTGAAGTTCAGCTGGAAATAATGCTGAGTTGTTGTACTAGAAACTGTTTAAAATACCGCCTCAATAGTTTTAAGGTAAACGATTAATATCAAGTTTTATAGTTATATAACCAATAGTGTAGTAATGTGGTTAATGATAAAATATAACTTATAAATATTTATTTAGCATTAAAAAAATAGGTGTAGGTACCACCTGCTAAGGTATGTTAAAGTAGTTACTGAACGGTAAATCAGCAATCAAATTGTAAGAAAAGCGTTTATTTAATAGGTTTTGACAGTTTTATTCAGATAAAACAAAATAAATAAGTTCAAATTCAGATAAAACAAAATAAATAATTTTGTTTTATCTGAATTTAGTGCTACTCTCTACTAAATAGAAAGCAGAATCTTGGTGACACAATAACAGGCCTACATATATTTCTGCCTCCCCCCTCTTTAGCTTTTTGTGGTTAATGAACTATGGTATAATAATCTCAGATAATAACATTAGCAAACAGAATAGTTTTTCTTACAAAAATGAATTGAGTTGTAACTACATGAGTGGTTGTGAAAATGCTATTCATTTTTGCTTCTATTTACAAATATTATTCTTTTTATACCAATTAATATTAAGTAGCGGATCTATCATTATTATCTATAAATTGGTGGACTAATTTTTTTGTTAACTTTGTCCATTTATTTTTTGGAAGTTTGAGCAAACATATGTTCAAATGATTCTGGAATGGCTTCCAAAAAAATCTGTAATCATTACCATTCTAGAAAAGCTTTTTATTCTGTTTTGTGCATTGTAGTGATTAAGAATATTCATTAGCTCTTTCAATTCAGCTTGTAATTTCATTAATAAATTACAAATGTTCTTTCCTTATTTAATTTGCATATTATTGTTTATTTGATTTGCATTTTGTTTATTTATTATTATTATTTTTTTAACGGTGCATTCAAAAAGTCTATGCATGAAAGTAAACTTAAATATATAAGACAAAATGAAAGTCTATATATTTGATATAATGTTATATTATGCTGAAGTAGTCAGGGGTTGAAGTAGAGGGGAATGCAGGAGAACACCATTTCTCTTTAGCCAACAAATCACAAAATCGTTCCGATTCTCTTAATTTTTTTTTTTTTTGCAACCGTTTCACTGTTGCATCACACTACCCAACTTTTGGCAAAGGTCCAGTATGTTGTGAAGAAACTAAGGAATTCATAATATATTTCTAGCCGCAGTTTATGTTGATGCTAGTTGTAGAATCATAACTTATATATCATAATATTGCGAGAAGAGAATCAGATGTATAAGCAAAACAAGACTTGAGCAATAGCAGGAAATAATGTATAAAAGAAATGCAAAAAATATAACAGTAAGTAAAGAAATAAGAAAAACAGTTGAATCATCTACAGCACTTCATTCAGTTTTAGGTAATTCTAATTCTGATGAAGAATTAGATGTGTTTGAAAAAGAGCTTGATAAAAAAGAAAAATTAGGAAGTGTGACCAAAATTAATTTTTTCAATCAAAATAATTTAATAAAAATTTTATGAACGACTGTCGCAACCAGAAGAAAAGAAATATTTAAAAGTGAAATCAACTTTTGAAGGAATTGAAGAATACCCAAAAAGGATACTTTCTCACAAGCAAGTGTAAAGAGGCTATTTTCTGCACTTGAGTTTATATCAAGGAATCTTGATGTAAACACTGAAGCCTGATATTTTATAAAACATTTAATTATTTTGATTTGTTTCTTCTGAAGCCATTCTGGAGCTGGTCCGAAGCTGGAGCTAAAAATTTTAATGGAGCCTGAGCCTGGAGCTAGAACCAATGTTTTTACCTCGGCCCTAATGCCCTAGCAGATTTTGAAACAACTGAACGTGTGTTTAGAATGACATACTATATTACTAAAAACAACAAACCCAACAACAAACCTCATCAAAACCATCTTGAGCTTATTATTCTACAGAAGTTTATTAGCCTAATGCTGGCGTAGTGTTACAATCAAACATTATTTTTGAAGACGTAATTGATATTATAAATGAGAAAATGAAGAAAAGAGTTCTATGCTACACTATGAAACACCTGCTCAGTATCTTACTTAATTGACAAAAGAACAAATTTAACCAGGAAAGTTTGCTTGGTTCTATACCCATGCTATGCATTTGATGATTTTCCAACTAACACATTTTTGGAGTTACTTGAGTTAAATCTGTCAGTTCTGCAGAAATTGCAATTTTTGAATTTATTTAGAATGATGAATTTTTAAATTTTTTCAAGATTATTTACGTATTGCTTGCAGATAGATAGGTTACTTTTATTTCTATTTTTAAAATACTTGATATAGAGCTTTTGTTTTATTTAAGGACAGTTAGCTCTCTTTCCTAAAAATCAAAATCAACTAAAAATAAATAATTATATACTTATTTTATGTAAGATCTTTAACTGTCTTGGCAGTTAAGGATCTTACATAACTTTTTTTGATTCCTATTGGATTCCTGTTTATCCAACAATTTACAAGGATTTTGCAGTGACACTATGTAATGACTGGATCAAATAATGTCTTCAAACAAGTTATGCAGAAGTTTCCTTGGGTAGTTATTTGGCATTGCTTAAATTATCATTTTGTTATGGCTGTAAATGATGCAGTTAAAGCATGTGTTGAGGTTAACCTTTTTAAGTGCTTTATTAATACTCTTTATGATTTAACATGGGACTCAAAGGAGAGAGATAAATTTAAAAATCTTGCACAGGAACTTGCAAATGTGTCATTTTTTACAAACCTGGCATTGAAGTTTTATGCATTGGAAAAAATCAAATCAACTTGAAGTTAACAATTAAAAGATGTCACACTTGCTTCTCTTGTCTCATATCTATTTTCGAAGGGAGAAATTTTGAAAGAGATCCCAGGGTTTCTATTGTCAAACTGGCCATTGAAAATGGTTTTCTACAAAATGTGAATATATCAAATTAGACAGAAATTAATCTTTATCAGGCCACCCTCTATCAGAAGCTGCTAATAAGTTTTAAAAAGTCACGTATAAAAACTTTTAATGAAAAGCACATCTTCACTAAATTAGTGCACTGTTTTGAACCCTATTCAATATGGTTTTCAGGAGAGTTTCTGGAAAATTTAAAAATTTTTTTTTTTTTATTTTGATTATATTATGATCAAAATAAAATAAAAATTTTCTAAGATTTTCCAGAAACTCTCCTGAAAGGATTATGCAATTTTTTATGCTTGATTTTTTTTAAATAAATAGGAGTGAATTCAAAAATCATAATTCAAACATTAGAGCAACTTCGATCAATGATCATATCTGTGATACCATACTTCGATCAATGATCATTCTGCAATGCAGAATGCAAAAAGGGCTTTTTAATCAGTATCATCTGTATAGATGTGTGAAACCTATTGTCAGTTAAACATTGTTGTTCATTAGCATTAATGTTCCTCTGCTAACACAATTCCAATCAAAGGAGTTTTCAAAAGAATAAGTGAATGTTGGTAAACTAACTGCTGATTTCAAGGAAGGAAAATGTAGAAAAGAAAACAATTTAACTGGAATTAAATCATTTTTGGAAGTGCTATAGTGTTTTAAAATACTCCCATAACACTTTGAAATTATCTACTCTTGTACTCAATACTTATTTAATATTAAACATAATCATTTATTTTTTATGTTTTTACGTTTCTGTTTGTGCAACAGAGTTAATCTCTTTTCAAAATATTTTTCCCTAATATAAGCATTTATTTTAAGCATTTGATATGACCAAATAAGTGTGGACATAAGTAGTAGTTTTAGTCATAACCCTAGACCTTGAAATACTACAAGAATGCATATAACAAAAATGCACCTTTAGCAAAAATTGAACTACTCAGTGAGGGTCTATTCAGCATCTCTTTGAACACACTATTTGAACTTTTTAACACATTTCCACTTGATTTTCAATTCTACTTTAACCTCTGGAGATACCATTTTAAAATAATATTAATTTAAATCATGCCTTTGGGTTCAAGATTTGCAGTCTCAAGAGTGTGGTTGAGGTTATGAGATTCCTTAAGGGAAAATGCTGAAACACCAGATCCAATGACAATAACCACAATTTTTAACCATTGTAGTTATTATGCTTTCTTGATACTGGATCAGTTTAAGACTGAGATCGAAGCAGATTACCACAAAAAGCAATAAAAACACACAAAACCAGATAAGCAATTTTTGGTTACAAGTTAAAGGCAAAAGTAACTAAGATTCCAGCCTAAGTAAATTTATCCAGAGGGCTAAATAATTCCCCTCAGTAAAAAATTAATGAATGTTTATAATATTTTACATTCACAAATGTTTCTTAAGTCATATAAAATCCAAATACATTTGAAATTATATGAGACTTTATTCATAGAGGCCTAACTGCCAAAGATGCCGCTCTTGGAGGATCCTAATTTAAAAAGATTTTTTTTTCTGATGAAGCTTCTTTGCAGAACTGTCTAATTTGGGTTCAGGAAAAACCAAATACTGTAGAAGAATACAATCAGCACAGTTGGAAAGTTAATGTTTGGTGCATTATGCCTTAATACTGTGTTGTAGGACCGTACTTTTTTGAGGAACCACCTATTAACGGCCAAAACTACCTCAAGATGCTTACAGAGTTTTTTCCTCCAGTATTGGCTCAAAAGCACATTGTCAGACAAACCTATTTCCGTGGAGCTCAGGCCTTGTTTTAAATATAAAATGCTTAACGCATTAGCCTAATGTGAGTTTGATGTCATAAAATTCTCTTTATCTTTTTATTTTTTAAAGACATTAGCTTTATTGAATTACTGCAATAATATTAATTACTGCAAAACAAGTTAAATATTGTTTAACTCGTTTTTTATTAATACTATTACGAGATGTCTATTTTCTTTCACTTTTTTAAATATTAAATAATTAAATTTAATATTACATTTGAAATTTTTTTTTATATAAACAAATTTTTCTTGACACCTGTATAAATGAATTAAAAAATGTTAAATTTTTAAAAATGATTGTTTCTAAAATAACTTTTTTAAAAAATTTGCAACTAAAAAAGATTTATTTAAAAAAAACTAG